GGGGGGGAATCTGGGGGGGGGCGGGCTTCACCTGCTGATGAGGGAGGCAAAGGGCTGCACCTGCAATGAGGTGCCCATGATGAGCAGCAGGTCAACCTTCTCAAAGTCCTGTGGAGGGAGGGGGAAACGTCACTGAGCCCCCTCCCACTCCCCAGATCACCTCAGCCCAGCCCCCAAATTCAGTCTGGGGGGGTGGGGGTGGGATTTGGGGCTCCCCCAAAGCCCCCACTCACCGACTCCAGGAGGGCGAAGAAGCGTGAGGGGAGGTTCTCCCCAAAAAACACAATGTCTGGGGAAGAGGGGGGGTGGCTCAGGGGATGGGGAGGGTGAGCCCCCCCCCAAATCCCTGCTGAGGGTGTCCCCCCCCACCCCCTCCCCACCACCCAAAACTCACCAGGTTTCACCAGTCCCTGGCACTTCTCACATTTGGGGATGAGGGAGGAGAAAATCCGCTCTGGGAAGGAGGAGGGGGGAGAACCTCAGTGGGGAAAGGAGGCATGGGCATTTTGGGGGGCACAGGGACATTTAGGGGGGCACAGGGACATTTAGAGGGGCACAGAGGCATTTTGGGGGGTCACAGGGACTTTTGGGGGAGCGCTGGGGGACAACAACCTGCCGTTCCCACCCTGTGGCAGAGCGGGGCGGGGACACCCCCGCAGCCATTCAGGGGGATTTTGGGGGGCCCCGGGGGGGGTTCCCAGGACTCGGGAGGGGTCCCCAGAGCCCCCCGTACCCCTCATCCAGGCCAGGCTGTAGCGCTGGCGGCACGAGGCCCGCAGGCAGTGGGAGGTGAAGAAGGTGCCGTGAGCCTCCACCAGCAGCTCCGGGTCCAGCCCCGCCACCCTCTCCAGGGTGTCGATGTTCTGGGGGGGGGGTCCATGAAGGGGGGGGTCAGGGGGTCCCCAAAATCCCCGTGACCCCCCCAAAAGAGATGGGAGAAGAGAAGGGTGTGTCTCACCTGGGTGTAGCAGCGCAGCAAGAGCCCCTTGTCCTGCAGCAGCCGCATGAAGTAGTGGCACACGGTGGGCTGGGGGGGAATTGGGGGCGTCGTTTGAGGCTCTCCTGGGTCCCCCCCCAAATTGGGGAGGGGTTTGGAGGGAGGTTTGGGGGTGTTTTACCTTGAACTGCCCCGGGTAGAGCTCGCGGGCAAGGGCGAAAAAGGGCTCTGGGTGTTTCTGGGGAGGGGGCACAGGGAGGTCAGGGGGGAGCCCCCAGAAACTCAGAGCCCCCCACCAGAATTTGGGGAGGAAAGTGGGGGTTACCTTGAAGAAGCCGATCTCAAAGATGGCCTCGGGGTAGGGGAGGTTGTAACTCTGCAGGTTGGAGTAGAGCCCGGTGCCGGGGGAGCGGAAATCCGGGATCCCGGCAGCTGGAGGGGGTCAGGGCCCATCCGGGGGGGTCAGGACCCATCCCGGGGGTCCTCCAGCCCCCCCAGGCCCCCCCAGAAACAGCACTCACAGGTGGAGATGCCGGCGCCCACCATGCAGATGACGTTCTTACCTGGGGGGGGGGGAACACAAAGGGGTGAACCCCAAATTCGCCCTTGAGAACCCCAAAAGTGCCCCCAAAGCGAGCCCCCAGATCCACGCCCGTTCTGCTGCTCCCCCAGATTCTCCTTGGCCCCGCTCCTGGTTTTCCTGCTGCCTCCTCCCCGTTCTTGGTGCCCCCCATTCCCATTCCCGGTGTCCCATTCCTGGTGTCCCTACAGGGCTCGCTCCTCAGGAACCAGCCCCGTTCCTGTCCCCGTTCCCATTCCCATCCCCGGCCCCACTCCTGTTCCCGTTCCCGGTGCCCCATTCCCGTTCCCACGCCCCATTCCCATTCCCAGCCCCGCTCCTGTCCCCATTGCCATTCCTGGCCCCAGTCCTGGTATCCCTACAGGGCTCGCTCCTCAGGAACTGGCCCCGTTCCTGTCCCCGTTCCCATTCCCCTCCCTGGTACCCCATTCCCTGTTCCCATTCCCAGTGCCCTGCTCTCGTTCCCACTCCTGGTATCCCGTTATCCCATTTCCTTACACCGCGGGCTGCCCAGGAAGCGGCCCCGTTCCCGTTCCCGGTGCCCCGTTATCCCATTCCCATTCCCGTTATCCCGTTTCCTTACACCGCGGGCTGCCCAGGAAGCGGCTGACGCCCGCCAGGCTCAGCTCGTCCAGCACCGGCTCCGCTCTGTCCCCGCCGAGCCCCAGGGTCCGGGCCAGCAGCGTCCGCAGCAGCTCCACTGCGGGGACACCCGGCTGTCCCCGAGGGCCACCGCGGCCACCCCGCGCCCCTAAACCCCCCAAACGGCCCCAAACTGGACCCAAACGGCACAAAATGGCCCCAAAATGGACCCAAATGGCCCCAAAACGGCCCAAAACAGCCCCAAAAATCCCTTCAGCAACCCTCAGTGCCCCCAAATGTCTGATTCCGAGCGCCCTGTCCCAGAAATGTCCTCAAATGTCCCCAAAAGCCCCTGACTATCTCCGAAGGCCCCACAATGTCCCCAAAACGTCCCCCCAAAGAGTCCCCGGAGTGTCCCCAGGGGTCCCCAAAACGTCCCCCAAAGGGTCCCCAAAACGTCCTACAGGGGGTCCCCAAAAGTGTCCCTGGGGTGTCCCCATGTGTCCCAGAGGTATCCCCGGGTGTCCCCCGGTGTCCCCAGAGGTCCCCGGGATGTCCCCAGGGTGTCCCCAGGAGTCCCTGAGGTGTCCCCACAATGTCCCCAAGGCGTCTCCAAAAGTGTCCCCAAGATGTCCCCCAGGGGGTCCCCAAAGTGTCCCCAAAACATCCCCCAGGGCGTCCCCAAAAGTGTCCCCAGGGGGTCCCCGGAATGTCCCCAGGTGTCCCCGAGGTGTCCCCGAAGTGTCCCCGGGGGTCGCCGAGCCGTCCCCGAGGTGTCCCCAGGAGTCCCCACAATGTCCCCAGCTGTCCCCGGGGTGTCCCCCGAGGTGTCCCCGGGGTGTCCCCACAATGTCTCCGGGGTGTCCCCAGCTGTCCCCACAGGCCCCGCCCGGGTCCCCCGCGGGACCCCGGCGCCCCCAGACCCACTGTCAGCGTCGGCCGAAGTGCCCGGCTCGGGCTCCGGGACCTGCGGGGAGCAGTGCGAGCGGTCACGGCGGTGCCGGGGCGGCCCCGGGCTGGGGACCGCTGGGGACCGCTGAGGGGGGGACACGACACCGGGGGCGTTACCGGAGGCTTGGCGTCCTGCTCCGCCTCCTCCCGGCGGGCAGCGGCAGCCGCGGGAGCGCTGGGGGGCTCCCCGGAGGGGGGGTCCCCGGAGGGGGCGGGAGGGGAGGGAGCCGCACCC